TTCCAATCAGAAAGGCATTGAGTCCAACTTTCTCCAGCCCTCATTCATGTGTCATCAGTCACCTTTGCCAAACTCCCTCTCTCTCTCTCTGCCCCACCTCTGGTTCTTTACTACAACTTTCACTTTTCACCGCCTCCCATGAAAACCCCAATATTCTTTTTTGAGACGAGAAATTATATTCCGTGGATTTCCACAGAAAGAAATAAAATATCTGCAATATAAGAGAAAAAGGCATTTCTCCTTTGTGTTACTTATTAGATTGGAAACTTTGATTAGCCATTCATTCTCTGTTAAGTTTTTCTTTCTTCCATCACTAATACTCCCTGCAGGAGAAAGAGAGAGAAGAGAGAGAAAGATATGTATATATATGTAGAGAGAGAGAAAGAGAGAGATCTAATCCTGCATCTATAAGCTAGTGGTGTTAAGGTTTGTATCAGAGCTAAAAGTACCTTTAGCTTGTTTCTTGCAAATTTCCACGTTTTTGCTTGACAAAAAAATTGTTGAATTTCTCTTGCAGATTGAATTTGAAACCAAAAGAGACCTATAGAAGTTGTAGAGAAGATGACAGATGAAGTAATTTCAACTGGTTCCACTAAAAATCAAGTTAGTGGATCCAATCCTCAACCTGTAGTAAAGAAGAAGCGAAGCCTTCCTGGAAACCCAGGTAATCAAGCTTACAATTTTATATATATTCATAGATTTTCTAGCATCAATATATTCAATATATTTTCTTTAGTAATTTGTGTTATTCCATTGAAGATGTGATAATTAATCTGTTCTTGTATACCAGATCCTGAAGCTGAAGTGATAGCCTTGTCCCCGAAGACTCTAATGGCCACCAACAGATTCTTGTGTGAAATATGTGGAAAGGGTTTCCAGAGGGATCAAAACTTGCAACTGCATAGAAGAGGGCACAACCTGCCATGGAAGCTGAAGCAAAGGAGTAGCAAAGAAGTGCGAAAACGCGTTTACATATGCCCTGAAAATGGCTGCGTTCACAACCATCCATCGAGGGCTCTCGGAGACCTAACTGGCATAAAAAAACACTTTTGTCGAAAGCATGGGGAGAAAAAGTGGAAGTGTGAGAAATGCTCTAAACGATATGCTGTGCAATCAGATTGGAAAGCTCACTCCAAGACTTGTGGTACTAGGGAATACAAATGTGACTGCGGGACTATATTTTCAAGGTATTTTATCACTCTCTTACCTTATGTTGCCCAATTAATGGCATCCTCTAAAGAAGAAGGATTTTCTGACCACCCAAGAACAAGAAAATATGAAGTGATCAATGAAACTTACGATAGAACAATACCCTCTTTTGTGTATGGGTGGGGTTCAAAAGTGAGAGGGTCGCTAGTGAAGACAAATTGTTAATCAAGATGTGTGATTTTCAATACCATTTTTCTTCATCTAAAAAATATGGTCCTACTTGGCTCTCTTGTCAATAATTATTAGACTTCTTGTTATGCTCTGATAATATATAGACTATAGTTATAGGCTGTGAATAGCCTCATGTCTTGGTGGATCGATTAGAGTACATTTACTAAGCATTAATAGATCAAACTAAATAATTTTATTTCATTTCTTCGGTAATATTGTCCAAATATTGTACAATCACCAAGCAAGTCACTAGTAATTGTTTTGGGATTAATTCTGTGAACAGGCGAGATAGCTTCGTCACTCACAGGGCATATTGTGATGCCTTGGCCGAGGAGACAGCAAGGATAAAAGCAGCATCTCACATGGAAAACCATGCAGGCCATACCAATTATCACTTCTCACTAGGACCTAGTATGGGGCAGCGTTTCACTTCCATTTTCGAGCCAATTTCTTGCAACCCTCAAAAAATTAATGATCCAATGACAAGAAGCCTTACTCTGTGGAATATGAGCCAGCAGCCTTCCCAAAATCAAGATATACTAAGCAAAAATTTTCAAGAAATGCACCAAATGGGAATTTCTATCAGTTCCTTAGGTGCAGTATACAGTTGTACTGATCCACTTGTTAATCCCTGCGCATCAAACCCTCCTGCACCAACAACTACTTATCAGTTGAATTGGGATTTCACGAAAAATCTTAATTCCACGAAAGCTTCTGATGATCAGTTAAGCTGCAATTCACTTCCTTTGAGTAATATCAATGCTAAAGAACTTGGTGGGAGTGCTCCATCTTTGTTTAGCACTCAACATCAATCCCACCATCAATCCTCAACAGCAAACATGTCTGCAACAGCTTTATTGCAGAAAGCTGCCGAAATAGGAGCCACCACAACTGACCCATCACTCCTAGGAAACTTCGGCCTCAAGTGCACTGAAAATCCAGTCCAAAATGCAGTAACTACTCGTCTTGGAAGTGATTTATCTGCATTGAATCAGCTTCAAATGTACCCCTCTATGCGCCACCATATACAGAATCAAGAAAACATCACAGAGGGAGAAACTAGAGATTTTCTTGGTGTGGGCATACAGTCCATCTGTCATCCATCATCAATCAATGGATGGATATGACTATCATGGGGGAGTTAATTTGCTGATTTACATGATGATTTTCCCAAGGAATGAAATTAAAGATGAAAATAAAGTGGAGTTCCTTGCTGAGAGAGATGATGGGATAAAGAAAAAGGAAGGAGTTTTGTATGTGGAAACTTTGCAGAAAGGAAATTGTGGAATTTAGGGGAGGTGAATAAAAAATTATATATTTATATCCAAGAATTGAACGGGAAGATCCATGCATATTCAACCAAATGGTGGCATCTTTATATTTTTTAGTAAAAGGGAATGTGTAGTGGGGGCAAAGGCACCTTTACAACTCCATTATTGCTCTATGTTCCATTTAAGTTCTAGTTGTTATCTTCACAAACTGAATTTAACAATGGAATCCAATATTGGTAGAAAAGCCTAAATCTAGTTTCAGGTAGGCTTTATTGCTTCTTAATCATCATTTGTTAGCCTTATGTAGCATGGAATCACAGTTTTCCTATTACCCGAAAAAGGTTTAATTTTCACATGGATTAGAGAAGCTAACTAAATTAAAGAAGGAAAAAAGTTAAAATTTTCATTGTTGTACTAAACATGAATGTCTAGCATTTAATTTAAAATGCTAGTATATATCTCATCATATATTTGCAAATAATTTGAATTGATGAAATTTATCATTTGTTTAAAACTTGAAAACTCGTTTATAATCATCTTCGAATTCGAATCATTTTGTTTCAAAGAAAATCATATCAGTTGACAATAATTCGGTCTGATTCCTGTTTAATTATTTGCATATGAAGGAGTTATTATTATCAATTATGTTTGAAAATGATAAAAATTTTGCATAAATAAATTGTAAAAATATGGTTTCATGTAAACAATACTATGAAATTTGTAAAAGACAGTTTATTTAATAAACCAATATCCATCTATTATAAAATAGGAAAATACAAGCAAAAAAAAAATGTAGTTTAAATATAGCACAAAGTATGAGTAATATGATAAAAAATAGTCATTTACATTTACGTTTACGTTTAAATTATAGCTAAAATTATTTATTTTTGAATATTATTTTTTTCTTTTCTATTTGTTTATTTAAAAGGTAGGTAAATTATTGATTTCAAAATGCTTTAATGAAGAAAATAGATGGTAAGGACTCATATCTGACAGAATGAGACAGAAACGATCAACTCCACAAAAAAATGTTGAAATGAGGGTGCAATTATTAAATTTGAAATGATAAGGACGATTTGCACAATTAATGCAAACAATGAAAATATTTTGTGTTAATTATCTTGAAATACGATTAACAAGTATTGATTTTTCATTTGGTTGACCCGGATTCTATTTTGGTTAATCCTCCTAAACTTGTTGTTAAGATTTCTCGTGTCAAATCCGTCGAATAGCAAAAGAAAGATGTTGATGCGAGAGGAGTACGTTGATATGGCGGAACGGATTGGTCTGGCTCGTGACGTTGATAAGGCGTACGTTACCGAAGTGGATGGCACAAATTATCCTTCCAAGTTCGATCCATTAAGCACGCGGCCCAACCCAAAACAACAACATAAAGTCTGAAGAGCTGCTTTAAGGAGAGCAAAAATTTTCAGCAACCAAAGGAAAAGAAAAGAATGAAATTCACAGATTCGCCTGTAATCGACCTGCCGGTGCTTGACACGCGCCTCTCCATTCAGCAAGACAACGGCTCGATGCACGTTGGCACTTCTGTCTGGCCCTGCTCCTTGGTCCTAGTCAAGTTCTCCGAACGCTGGCACCCGCAAACATTTGCCGTGAGTGATACGCACCCCACCAACCCTTATGCTGACCTCCTAAACTTCACCAACAAGCGAGGCGTGGAGCTTGGAGCCGGCTGCGGAGTAGCCGCCATGGGACTCTACCTGCTCGGCCTGCACGACGTCGTAATTACAGACATTGCTCCTGTTATGCCAGCCCTAAAGCACAATTTGAAGAGGAACAAGCCAGTTTTGAAGAAGACCCTAAAGACGGCCCAGTTGTATTGGGCGAAAGAGGAGCAGATTCAGGCATTAGGCCCGCCTTTTGATTTTGTAATTGCGACGGACGTGGTTTATTTGGAGGAGACGGTGGCGCCGTTAATTAGGGCAATGGAAAGTTTGGTGGCAGATGACGGTGTCGTTTTATTGGGTTACCAGCTGAGGTCGCCGGAGGCTCATAAATTATTCTGGGAAATGTGCGGGACCGTTTTTGAGGTGGAGAAGATCCCACACGAGCATTTGCACCCGGACTACGCTTACGAGGAGACTGATGTTTATGTTTTCAGGAAGAAAAAGCAGGATGTTTAACATATCTATCAATTTTGGGTATAGATCTTCCCACCTTTTAATTATAAGCCTAACGGAATCGGAAATGAGAAAATCTGGTTAGTTTGTGTTTTTGTGTGTGTGCCAACAGGCTTGCATTTGTTACTTGCTATGTGAACTGAGACTTTTATGGCCGTCTGCATATTTTTGTTGGGAAGAATAATACTTTGTTAATGTTGAACAATGTTTTTGCATGCTTATTTTCTTTATACAGTGTATGATGTGAGGAACTACGAATAGAACAACAGTGAATGATTTGTAAACAATAAATTTATTATGCTGGTTTGTAAAGGATAAGCAATTATAATTTCCAGATTTAATTTTCCAAGCATGAATGTGAACCAACAAATCAAGATATAAGTTGAAGATGTGATAAATATTAGAGCTTCATTCATTTTCTAGGCTGCTTCAACTTCTGGATAGATGGCTCAATTGTGAATAAGTTTATGAAAGAAGGAAAACAAAGATAACGTGATCGCTTGCTTCTTCTTTTATTAACCTGCTATTTGACTTTGGAAATAATCTTGGATTTGCCTTAGATGCCTAATTTTTTATTGATCTTGATTTGCTTGAGCTTAGTTACAACCTTTAAGGAACTTATTAAGGAACGTGTACTTGCATGAATTGCTGAAGCATAGAATAACCTAGTGACTCTGTATATGGTTAAATTCGATTCAACGACGATTATCTAAAAAATTGGAATCTTTTGAGTTCATGAAGTATGAGTAAATAGTGATGATGAATGAAATATTTTTGTTGAATTGGACATGCGAACATCCTACTCTTGGGATATTGATTCAAAATGTGCCAAACAAAGGAAGGCATATACTCTAAATGGAAATATTTCATATAGTGGAAAAGCTATGACAGTCTATAAACTTTTCTATCTTTTATATTTTTCCGTCTCATTATTTTTCTCCGATGAAGGATCATATGGGCCAGTTAAAGGGACCTAGCCTTAATTCCCAACGATGGGTGTTGAAGCAGAAGATACTTAAGTTATTGGGGAGATATTTGATGGAAGTCAATGGTGAGTTGATTCATTTCGGACTGCACATATCTTTGGAAGGAAAACAACTCCATCTGACATAGATAACCTGGTTACATCAAGAAAAGTTGTTCGAAAGGTGAAGCAGGCTCGTGTAATTTCTTGGACTCAAATGGGCATTGTGTCTCTTTTTATAGGAGATGGTAATTTCGCTAAGTAAGATATGTACATCTTCATGGCAATGCGCTAGTTGTCATGATAGAGGACTATCATGCTTGTACTCGGGTACGTATCTAAGTATTAAAACTTATATTTTTCAAAATGTAGGATATGGAGATATGGCTAAAAAGAATCCAAATTTCGAACACTGATATGTATGTCTTTCAAATTTCAATTTTTTCCCCCTAGAAATTCACTTGTAAAATGTTAAATAATAATTAAGTAGCGAATTTTTTAAAAATAGAACATGTCACTTAAAACCAACTAGAATTTATACTAAAATAATAAATTATTGTATAAATATATACTTTCGAAAATTAATATTAAGTTTAAGATTTTTTTAATGTATTTTAATTATTTTTTAATAATTATTTCATTAAATAAAGAATAAATGGGCCAAACAAAATCGTAAATTATAGACTGCGTGCATTGAAATAAAAGTCCAAAGTGTTATTAATCTAGAAGCCCAATAAAAGTCATAGTGTTGTTAACCAAGAAGTTCATTGTTTGGCATTCGCTTTCTCTCCAGTCGCTCCTCCTGCTTCGACTGTGCGGCAGAGGCCTCCTCTTCTCAAGATATGACATAGCCGGACCTTCCCCTTTCCTCCGAAGAGTAGAAACAGGAGAGCAAAAAAAAAAAAAAAAAAAAAAAAAAAGAAAGAAAGAAGGGAAATTTTACGTCATCGTCTTTCTCCACTCTGTCGTGTCCAATCGAAAAGTGTCGTGTCCGTCCCATATTTCATACTCGTGTCGTGTTCTGTTGTGTCAATACTAGTACTCCGATCGAAATAGAGAGTTCGAGCATCACAGATAGAGGATGTGCTATTACTAACGATCCACGTATTTGCACACGAGCACTGGCTTGACATTGATGCAAAGTGTGGTGGAATGGATGTCGATGAGATGATGACTGAGGAGCTCCAAGAAAGTCATGCAGGGGGGTTGCATTATAATGTTTTAGCAAGTTTGTTCAATATGATATGATGAGGTTCCTATAACTTGTGTTAAATCTTGGTGATTGTACTCATATAATGGAGCATGTTAATTCTCTGTTTTGAGTATCGGGATTGCCAAAGTTTACCGAATTTCTAGAATCATGATCAAAAGTTGTAGAAGATATTATTGAGTTTTGACTTATTTTTTGTCAAGGTAGAGACTTCTGGGATATTGATTCAAACCATGTTAAAAATAAAAGGCATAAACTCTTAATAGAAATAAAATATAGGTAGGTTTTATTTTTTATTTATTTACTTTTTTTTTTTTTTGGTGGAAAGGCTGCCAAAATTTGGTTTGAAATTTTGGCAATGTTTCCAAAGCAAGGGAACGTGTCTTTGAATCAATTTTGACTTAGAATTCAACAATCTCCTATAAATTGATGTAGTTTATTCTCTATTGTGTACGTGACTTAAGGGTTTTGAGAGAGAAAAATTGTAAGCCCCTTTTTCTTGTTCTCTTTGTGGGTTGTTCCAAAAGTAGAAATTGGTGGGTTTCATAAAGCTTAGGGTATTTTTCCTACGATACTTGGAGGGTTTTGTGTGTTAAAATTCTAAATGATTGAGGGTCTATAAATTTTTCTCTATCATTTTACATATTATTATCTCATTATTTTTCTCAGAACATGGATCCTATGAGCAAATTAAATGGAATTAGCCTCAATTCCCAACACCTATCGCATAAATGTTTCACGGATCATGCCAATTCATAATGAAGTATGGATGGATTGAGGATTTAATGTGTGTTATATTTCTTTGAATTGGTGCCAGTCTGGAACTTTGAGTGCATTAATGTATCAGTAGCTATGCTGTTCTGTATTTGATGACCAAAGTAAGTACAAGCAATTGCTAAGGCAGGACTTAGAAATAACCTATTGTGGGTAGGTTGCCTACTTGAATCAAAACTTTCTATGACTTGGAAAAATTCATTGTTCTCTTTAAGATAAAACTTGAAGTTTCTCACCAGATAATAGAAAAATTTTATTGATGTAACAATGAGAGGCTCCTCAAAAAACTAAGTACTAGACTCGTTGAATTCCAATTCCACTTGATTTAGCCCCTGTTTGACAACCATCATTTGAGAAAAACAATGTTTTGAATAGTGATTTTTAAAATAATGTGTGGTTAAAAAGTAAGAAAAAGTTTTGAGTTTACATGCATAATATTTTATTGTGTGATTATATGGTTGAAATGAGTATGTAGAAAAATGAGTTTCCAAATAATGGATGTCGAACAGGGGATTAGTAACATGCCACGAATGGATATCTGATTTATGGAACTCGTTACTTCTCCAACGGAAGCTTGCAGATCCCCTAAAATCGGAAAATGGACATGATAGGAGTAAGTCAATAGGAAATCTAGCTTATAGGGATGGCTGGGGGTGCGGGAGGCGGAGTCTGGCACTGTAGTTGCACTGAACCAAAATTTTTATGTCAACGGAACATATAAGGAGATGAACCGTGCTAGAGGCAGGGACCCACCTATGGGGGCGCCACATCAGCCCTCTAGACGGACAGGGGCGATGTGGCTCTGATCAAATAGCTTTACACATAAGGAGATATCTACGGAATTTGGGTGGTCTATTACCCCTGCTGACCCTTCTTTCTCTGTGCTCCTTAACGGAAGTATTCTTCATTGCTAAATAATTTATGGCTTGTTTGACGGATGGCACAGTACTTGTTTGGCAGATTTTACAGTATTGTCTATTGTATATTTTACTGCAAGAAAACATGCCCTCGGACATTATGCTATTTTTGCAAATATTTTGGTTTATGAAATCCATTATGAGACAACAAATGATTTTCCTATTTCTGCTTCTATGAACTTCTGAGAGTCCCGTATCTGTGTTCCTACCCAGCACGTTTTAGCCAGAGATTGTGATGTTGAGCTCATTCACCTACTAATTTGGGGTGTGCAGAGATTGTAATGTTTGAGCTCATTCACCTGCTAATTTGGAGGAGTGTGTGAGACTTTATTTCTTGGGGAATCTTGAGGATACAAAACCATTCGTTGTAATTCTTTAAACTGATGAATTTGTGCTAATGCACATATTTGGATTTTCATTCTGCAGTGGTTAATGAGGCGTATCCTCATTTAACTCCATATGCTGCTCTCTACTTAGCCCAAAAACTTATTATTCTGTGCAAAAGTCTATTTGCAAAAGTGCACTGTTAATTCCAGCTTTGAGATGAAAATGTATAGCCATTGGGCTAAATTTCAAGCAAAATAGAGTGATTTCACTATATTTGTATGCAGTTCTTTTAAAATAGAGAGCATCTTCCATTTAAGGACTCTATACTGTAGGCAAGAATTTTGTTGTTTATGCATTATAATTAGGAAAAATCATTGGCTCAACCTTTGTTCCATCTTAGACATTTTTCAAAAGCTTTTATTTCTTTACATTTTGGTCATAAGCTTTCACATTTTGTTGTCAGTAATACCACTAGACATTGCTATTCAACATCGCTGTTAAATTAGAATAATATTATTCAGTACCATTAGTATTTAGCACCAATTTAAGTGACAATTCATGACATTAAATAATATATTCATTTAAATGTAATCTCACATGATTTATTTAATTAAACATATAAAAAATGGTTACTTAAATTGGTGCTCTAGAGCCACCGATGTTAAATAACATTATTCATTAAATTAATGCAAAAAATTATTTGTCATTAAGTTGAAATAATGCAAAAAGATTTAAATAAAAAGAAATTGAGCAAGTCAAAAGAAATGTGTGGCTAAAAACAATTTGATAATATATAACAATATTTCACATGATTGAAGGTTGACAATCGCAAAGGTAAACTTTCGGAAGTTAAGGAACCGTTATGCACGCGATAATTGCAAATTTATGATAACATATTGTAAACATTCTATTAACTTGATCGAGATACGAGTATGCACAAACTCTTAGGAAGCACTTAGCCTCTTGAGCTCACTTAAAAGATCAAGTTATTATACTGTCGCAGTTCAAAAGTTATACAAAATCATAAATAGTAGAGAAACCAACCATACAATTTTTCCCTTTTGTTTAATTAAAAGATTAACATTTAAGTCCTTGTTTGAGCTTTTGGGAGGAAAAATATACCTTGAAATAATTTTTTTTGAAGAATGTATGGTTAAAAAATTAGAAAAAGTTCTCAGTTTATGTGTAAATTTATTTTATTGGAGGATGTGTGATTGAAAATGAATTTTTGATAAAATGGGATTCAAATAAGAGCTTAGTTCTTGGATCAAATCTAAATTTTAATCACATATTTATAAAATCACAACTTTTAATCACATATTTTATAAAATCCACATCTTTTTAATAACAAATTTCATCAATTTCTATTAAAATCTACTAAAACTTTAATTCTAATACTCACTAACTTAGCATTTGTTTGTCTCTTTATGAAAGAAAAAAAATCCTCTTTAATTCTCTTTTTCATTTTGAACTTCACATTCACGTAATAAAATGTTTTGCACGTACATTGAAATTTTTTTTCCTAATTTTTAATTACAAAAAATCTCCAAAAATTTGCTATTCAAAATATAATTTTTTAAAAATATAATGGCTCTCAAACAAGGGCTGGGTCTAAAATCTTATTCATCAAATATTGTATTGAAAGAGAACCTTGGTAATTGAGCCTATATTTGAAAATCAATTTTTTTTAATAAAATGAATTTTAAAATAGTGATTTTTTTGGAAGATGTGTGTTTAAAAGAATTCCTATGATATTGACCCACAATTCATTTGACCTTTTACAGTAAAAAAAAAAAAAGTACATCCCCATAAATCTCGATTGGTTGCATTTCACGTGCTAATTCTCTTCTAAGATTACAATGGTATTTTCCTTCTATTATGATTCTTTTGCAATTTGTTATGCTATCTTGCCTCATACCACATCACCCTCCTCCAAATGTTTTTATTAGCAGAATAGGATTCAATTTTCATGATCTTCTCTTCTTCCTACTCCCTCTCTCTTTTCTTTAACTCTCTCCCTTTTGCTGTGGTGTCTTTTCAGCCCTTGACATTATTATAGGGTGCCCTGAAGAGGGACTACTTGTTGGCATATTTCCGGACAGCCAACGAATTGTTGGGGGTCCTTCAACCTTATAGGACGCCCCCATGATAATTCGTCTTTTTCAATATAATACTAACTGGAAATAATTTATTTTCATTTTAGATATGTCTGTTGTTTTAGTGCCTTATAACATGGATTATTGTGTATCGGGTAATTATTTGATTCTACTTTCCTCTTGAAGAGGGAGAGAGGGAGGGGGTTATATTTTGGATAAAATCACCTGTCCCGTGGTGCCCCTCTTTTTAACCCTGTCCCCAAGCCGAGACAGGGAGCAAGGTTCTTGTATTTTTGCAATGGTGGGTTTACCAACATCACCACATCTTAAGCCATCACAAAATCAGATTAAGCATTCATTTCATGAAAACATCAATATATTGTGTACGTGCATGCACGTGTGAGGTTTAACGTGCTGGCTATAACCTGAAACTTAAACCTGAAATAACTTGGATAACTGATCTCGAGAAAAAAAAAATATCTTATACAATCCAGTGACAAAAGATATAGTTTCACAATCTTAAATATGATAAAACCAACTGTTGTCTATATCTATAATTTGAAGCACCACACCATATTTCAATCCATAAATTTAGGAGTGCCAAAAAGATGAACTGATCGTGAATAATTAAACAACGCCTTAACGATGACTAAAAGAAATCCTGACCTCAAGAACCCAAGAGCTCCTTTATACCAGCTTTCTGACTTGATGTCAACCTTGCAGGAAATTTTATGTCAAACTTAATTCTCAAATTCCCTTTCTTAGTTGGATCTTTTGAGATTGGCATGCCTTCTCTTGGGACAATCTCTTCGTAATCTGGATGGATCACGTTGTTGATGGGAATTGTTAGATTCCTGCCATCTAATGTAGTGATGTGTACTATGCAACCAGATAATGCTTCCACCAGTGGTATCTTCTGCGTAAAAATCAAGTCATTCCCATCTCGAGTGAAAGTTCTGTGGGCCTTCTCATCAACAATGAAGACGAGATCTGAAGGTATTTGATTTGGATGCTCATTCCCTTTCTCCTGGAAGGTGATCTTAGTACCTTTCTTCCAGCCAGGCTTGATATTAATGGTCAAGATCTCCTCTACAGGGGCTGTTTTCCTGCCATTAACCAAAAGGAAATGTAAGAGGAAATCCACATATCCACCTCGAGATGGATAACATATGAAAGGAAAAATACATGCAACATTTCCATATAACTCGGTTCCACAAAAGTAAAGATCGATTAGCTTTCTTATAAAGTTTCCTAATAAATGATGGGGCAGTCCATGGTTTATCCATTCTAGCATAGAAAAGCCGAGCAATTGGTGCTAGATTTTGTACGTACTTATCTACAACAGTTCCTTAATAAAACTTAAAATAAATGGAGTTCAAAGAAGGAAACTTTAACCACGACTTCGGCATAACTCGTACACATGAAAATTGAGAATTGTGAAAATAGGTTGCCAAAACAAACATGATGTTTTATATAAATCTAGGAAGCACAGATGCGGACACGACATGACACAGACACACCAATTACAATTTTTCAAAAAAGTACAGACTCAACGTGTCCTAACACACTTATTAAATAAAACATTAATTTTTTATTTATTTATTTTTTATTTTCGTTTATTATATTGTAAAGTGAATTTGCTTTAGTTAACTCTCGTAGATCAACTATGTATAAATATGCATCGACAACACATCCAATTATACAAAATCGAAAAATAGAACTGCAAAAGGTTGCACTATCCCTGCTAGTACACAAGATATGCAATAGCATTAGACCATTACAATGGCTTTAACAGTCTACCAATTCATTAATATATCTAAAGGTTATTATAGTCCATGTCCATACATACACCTGGCAAATATGACCTGAGTTCTGTTGACTTCAATTGTACCACAGTTAATCTACATCTTTAACCTATGGTGCACGAACATTCTTAGTTGAGCTATATGTCCATGTCCGAGATGATACATTTGTCACATGACACTCCTCAAAAATTCCACGACATAAACTATATGTATTTTCCCTTCCCCAAAAGTCAGCTATCTAATTTAACATAAGTTATTTTAATATAACGAATAGCTACTCAACTAATTTAAAAGAATTCATGAATAGAAATCAAAACTATGAAAGAATTGATATTATTAAAAGATAAAAAGCATAGTGATAAAGATAAAATATATAAATCGACAATTTAAAAAGCACATGTCGACGTGTCCGTGCATGATAGTCTCAAACTTATAGATAAAACTCGCCTAACCGCATTACCCCCACTTAAATCAAATAAATGGCTGTGTTTCCTGTCAAACTAAATGCATGCCACGTCTACTGAAACAATGTTACATGGGCCAAAAACAGAAATAAAGCTTATACCATTTGTGCTCATTTCTTTGGTGTAGTTCACATTCTCAGAATCTGCTGTATCACATATATTTGTCCAATCATCTAAATCTAATGAAAACTCTATCCCTCATCCATACACCCCAAAACCTCTGCCCTCAGAAATGTATATCTTCATCCAGAAAAAGACCAAAGCCGTAAAAGCAGTTAATACAACCCAAAATTCCACAAAGTCTTGGCTTGCTAATGAGAGTGAAACCATTACAAGAAAATAGTGATAGAGAACATCAAGGAAATGCTTATGTTTACTTGGAAGCTGAGGACAATTCTTTGTAAACGATTGCCACATACAGTGGCTACTGACTAGTGATATAAGTTAGCTTTGAGCTTTACATTATCTTTATTTTCCCCTTTCTGCTTCACAAAGTTTGAATTGAACCTCATTCTTAATCTTACATTTAACTGACCCCAGACGACACTACCTGGCCCTTTTTCTCACCATTGTCCAATTGAGTCTAAATCTAATGTAAAATTCTATCCCTCTTCCATCCACTGGAACTCCGCCCTTAACAAAGTACATCTTCATCCGAAGTCAAAGACCGTCAAAGCAATTAATGCAACCAAAAATACAAAGTCATTAATAGACAAAATCCAAATGCCTACTATTGACGTTATACCAATACAGAATGTAGAGTTAGTAGGTATGAAGGAAAGATTATGTTTACTTGTATGTTAAGGAATATTCTTTGTCAACGATTGCCACGTGAGGAGACTAGCGACAAGTCAGGATCCATATTATTGGAGAGTAATATTAAGTAATGTTTAATTCTATTTCTGTCTTTCTAGCCATAACATTCTAGCATCATTTACTTTTCAAGAGTGCTTCTTATTTAAGTACCAACGCATAAACAATTGTATGAAATAAAAACTGTTAGTATTTGAGAAGCCACAGATAAAAATGATTTTTATCAAAGAAAAATTAGTGCAATAAATAAATAACTTGTGCAAATATCCATAAAATGGAAGAATAATTGCTAATAATGTGTCCAAATTACTTATGTCAGTTTAAATTACATACAGTACCCTTTGAATCGACATCCATAAACTGGAAGAAGAATTACTAAAACAAGATATAATAATTATCATGATTAATTTCGTCAAACTTTCATAAGACATGTAACTACTAACTTTGTTCAAGAACAAAATACGAGACTGTTACTCATCAAACATGAATATCTACGTAGACACCATAAGGAATTGAACTCTCATCTTATTCTCCTAAAAAATGAAGAGAAATCATAATCAATTGTTAATCAGAAGAAAAATGCATCAGGCAGCCAGCACCAATCATCCTGTGCTATAAGCCAAACTTATCTTGTTGCTATTCAATAAATTGCATCTTACAAGAAGTTTCGTTTATCAAGACAAAAAGTACAAAATGCAACCGTACAATTGGGCAAGAATCTCAATATGATGAAACAATGAAGAATCCATAAACAAAGTACACAATCCAAGTAAAAGAATAATAATTATGCAAGCATTAGATAATTTACAAAGAGATGAAGAATGGTACTTACCCACTAGCATCCAGGATTTCTCTTGAAATTTTCATCTTCTTAGTAGTTCCCTTATAGAGCTCTTCAAGTGTACAAGGCAACCTCTGCTCAATTGGAGCTCCTTTCCGCGGTGCTGATTGATATCCACCACCACCTCCTTCGCCATAAGATGCAAACATATCATCATCAAACATGCCACCAAACCTAGCATTCCTCATTCCACTACCACCACCTCCCATTCCTCCAAAGGGGCTAGAAAATCCAAAAAACTCATTGAATATATCGTCAGCATTTCTGGTATTGAATCGGAAAGATGTAGGTCCACCCCCTGTGGAGAAGAAAGTGGGCCCCCCAGCACCACCGGCGTCAGGCGGTGGCACCTGCCCCTTCAGCCCATCTTCACCATACTGATCATATATTGTTCTTTTCTGAGGATCGCTTAGCACCTAGTAGAAAAACAATAATCAATTTACATGTTCTGCATCCCCTTAATCATAACACAACTCTAACTCAGTGTAGATTATGAGCAAAACCTAAAAAGATTCAATTTTTGGAATCTAACAGATAACCATAACCCTAATTACCAAATTGGCTCAAGCCATGAATCCACATCAATTAATAAAGTCTGAAATAAAGCAGAACTTACATCATAGGCTTCAGAAATCTGCTTAAACTTGGCTTCCGCTTCCTTCTTATTATTGGGATTCTTATCGGGGTGCCATCTCATTGCAAGCTTTCTATAAGCCTTCTTCAAGTCCTCATCTTTGGCACTTTTATCCACCTGCAGAATCTTGTAATAGTCCACCCCCATCTCCCCTTCCTCAATTCTCTTTCTCTTCTTCACTTTGCCAAAACTCTTCTTTTACCCTTAGGCACTTTTCTACAGAAACCCCGAAATCATGAACAAAAATAGCAACAAAATATCCTTTTTGTGAAAATTGGCTATGGAATTTAGGTGGGTCTAGAGTTTATAGATGGGCATATCAGTGTCATGTATAGCTTACGAATGTGGGGGCTAGAGAACAGAAGATCGACTGCCTCGGAAAAGAGATACGAGAGAACTGTGGAACATTCCGGAAACAGCTCTCAACGTTTGGTTATAGTTACATGGATTGTCCATTATAACAAGCTTTAAAAATTTATTTTTTCAAAATTCATTTTGTATCACATATTTTTCGATGAAACAATATTACACGCTAACTCAAGACTTTTTCGTAATTTTTAACCATATATTTTTTATCAACACTATTTAAAAATGCATTCTTTCCTCAAAATGGGATTTAAACAAGGACATAATTGTCACAGTACATTAACAGTCCATTGGATCCATTACAAATGTGGGAAAGAAAAGATAGAGATCAAACTGTTCAACCACGAGGTAAGGAGATCGATTATTGAACAAGTTTTCAAGATCGGTCCGATTATTATCACGAAAAATTATTAAAGATGACTTAGAATCAATTTGGGAATGATAAGATCAAAAGTTGAACTCACATGGTGATAAGATCCGTTATGTAAAAAGTTTTAAAGATCGGCTCGAGTATTATCAAGAAAAATAAATAGTTTAAAGGTCGAATTAGAATTAATCCAAGATTGTTAAAAGATTCAGAGGTGAATTTGTCATTTTTTGTGAATCAAGTAGTTTTTGTCTAATACATTTTGTCAATAATGATGCAATTTAATTTTCATAATGGGTGATGTTATACTTACATCAAGGTATTCATAATGGTATACACCCTCTTACATGGGGGACCTACATCGAATATTTTACTCGAAGTGAGTTTTCCTCCTTGTGAGGGAATGGACACCATTATGGCCATTGTATTATATACAAGTAACTATTCCTTTTCATAAGAGAGATTAACAACATGAATTAATTTTTGTCTATAAGATAGTTTAAATTTTTCGAAAAGTTGTTTAACAAGAGGGCGAGAAGAAAAAAAATAAAAGGAAATTGTTGGTAACTTTTATATTAAAAAAAGTAGGAGTTCCCTTTGTTGGTAAAATTTGTAATTCAAAATTGTATCTCGGTATAATGTTATAAATATCACATCCTACGACAATATTTTCATATTTCTAGGAAGGCTACTACGTATAACTGCCTCTTGCATGGTGCTTCGTCTCAAAGTTGACGACGTTTCAATAACTACATAGACGATTGCTCGAGATAAGGCATGTGGATACATAACCATGTGGCATGGCGTTATGAAGTC